ATTTGCCAGCACCCACATGGTGGCTCACAATACCTGTAACTCCAATTCCAGGGGTTCTTACATTCCTTTTGAACTTTAAAGGCACTAAGGATACATGTGGTGCACATACATACATGGATGATAAGTGCTCACATAAATTTTTTAATTAATAAAAGATTGCCTCAGTAAGAATTTGTATAGCATAAACAGTATAAAAGTTCTGATAAGAGAAATATTCATGTCTATCTCTATATATTCCTTTCATATGTTCAATGAACAGCGTCTGTCTTCCATGTGAGAAAATACTGATAAAATTATCAGTGGCACTCAGTCTGGTATTGAGCAAAGAGCATACCTATTAAAAGAATTTTTTAAGGTGCATAACCTGTGCTTTCAAGCATGTGGAGATCATATGTTCCATATATCCTGATCTTGCTATTTAAAGAATGCTGCATCTGCCTGTCAAAGGCAAAATAAAAACAAAACAGATGTGTGGTGATTAAAATTTATATATAATGTCTGGGAAACAATGACTTCTTTAGGTCCCTGCTCTCAAACAGAACATAATTGGAAGACTCATAGCTAAGGTTTTGTTGTATGAATAGGAGATACATATGTGTGTGATATTTACATTTAAATTGCTCATTTTGTCCCTTATGTCATTGCTTATGGAACTTATTTTAAGATAGATTATTTCTCCTTTGTGTCTCATCACCTCTTTCTCTCTTAGTCTGTTGAATGTTGCATGTGTTAGAATTTATAAAATTGATGCTAAATAATTACATTGGTATTGTGTAGTCTTTGTTTACATGTCATAATATCTGGTAATTAAAACTACTTCTACCCACTTGTCTACTTCATAAAAGAATACATAAGCTCTGTCTGAAGAAGAATTTGCTTGTTGAGGAATCTGAAGAACACTGTTCTTTTGTTTTGGTTTTGGTCTTTTTTTGAAACAGGGTTTCTCTGTGTAACAGCTCTGTCTTGGAACTTGCTCTGTAGACCAGGCTGGCCTTGAACTCACAGAGATCTGCCTGCCTCTGCTTTCTGAGTATTGGAATTAAAGGCGTGTGCCACCAACATCCGGTGAACACTATGTTCTTAAAACTATTTCTGAAAGATATACAGATAGCTTTTGGCTGATGTTGTACTTTGTTTCATGTGTGCTTCAGCATTGTCACGTGAGCTATAAAGAAGTTGACATACCAGATGAGTGAAGACACTATGGCCAGTATAGAGGTTAAAGCAAAGGTGATAGCCAGAAGGACATTTATAGCAGAAGCACTTGCATGGAAAGGAAGTAGGCTAGCCTTGCACAGCTGCATAGATTGCTCTGCATCCCTCCTGAGGCCTGAGGCATAATAGGCCCAAGCTGAAGGCTACCTTTAGCATATAGCAATACCAAATGTCAAGAACCACAGAAGTAAACTCTCAAATAAGGACCCTAAGTTTGTAGTTTTAGAAACGAGAAAAGGGAAGGGAGGCTGGAATGTAGTCCAGTGGTTAGGAGCACTGGTTGGTCTTGCAGAGGAACCTTAATTTGAGTCCCAGCGCTCACATAGTGCCTCACAACCATCTATGACTTTAATGCCAGAGTATCTGATGTCCTCTGCTGGCCTACCTAGGTGCAAGGCACACATGTGGTACACAAACATACAGAAAGACCAAACACCCATGCATATAACTCAACTAAAAAGAAACTAGAAAGGAAAACAGACCAAACTGAAAGATAAAGGCAGACATAAACAAAACAAACTAGAAGTCAGAAGAGAAAATCAGCTAAGTCAAAAATTGGGTCTTTGGGGGGTGTGGATGGTATCCAGCATTTGGGAGGCTGAGGAGAATTGCAAATTTGAGTCCTTCCTTATACATATAGTAAGTTCTAGACCAATATGTATTATATGCAGTACCATATCTTTAAAAAGTTTAAAAGTTGGCTCCTTGGAAAGATCAACAAAATTGAAAAACTTATACCTAGATTGGTAAATAATAAATCAGGAGTGAAAGGGTCACAATGCTACTGCTTCATGAAAATAAAAGGGAGAAGTAAATGCCACAAGCAGTTACATGCCAATACATATTCTAGATGAAATGAACAAATTCCTAGAAACATATACTGTCAAGGCTGGCTCAGACTTAAAACAGAGAAAAGCAAGAGAATCAGTAATAGAAGTCTTTGCAACAAATAAAACAAACAAACAAAAAATTACAAAATCAGGCAACTGATGGGGTGGTGAGGTGATGCATCTAACAAAAATCTAGTGCCTCTGCCAGTTGAAGCTCAAGCCTTTAATCCCAGCACTTAGAAAGCTGAGGCAGGCAGCTTAGACTATATAGCAGATTTCAGACCAGTTGAGAATGCTGTGTGAGCCTGTTCTACACCCACTTAAAAACAAACAGAAACTAGTACCCTTTCTTGTTAAGACCATTTAGTAAGATAATGATAGGGAACAAGAGTGATGGCTCAGTGGTTACAAACATTTACTGCTCTTCCACAAGACCTGAGTTCAATTCACAACTGCTTGTAACTCTGTCTTCAGAGGATCTGGTGCCCTCTACAGGCACATATGTGTATGTGGGAGTGCTTGCACCACAGCTTAAGAAAAAATGAGATAACGATAGGAAGGAACTTCCTCAAGTTAGGAAATGTATTTTTTTTAATGAAAAACAGCCAGTCACATATTCAAGATTAACACTGAAAGCATTCCCCTAAAGCAATGTTGTTTTCACCTCTTTTTTTTTTTAAGATTTATTTATTTATTATGTGTACAGTGTTCTGCCTGCATGTATGCTTGAAGGCCAGCACCAGATGTTGTTACAGATGGTTGTAAGCCACCATGTGGTTGCTGGGAATTGAACTCAGGACCTTTGGAAGAGCAGGCAGTGGCTCTTAACCTCTGAGCCAACTCTCCAGCACCTGTTTTCACCTCTTATATTCAGCAATGTATTGGAAATTATAGGAGAGTAAAGAAGTAAAACTACCCTTACTTGTAGACAATGCAACCTTTTCTTTAGAAATGCTTAAGGGATTCACCCTAAAACTATTGAAGCTAAGAACTGGAGAGATGGCTCAGTAGTTAAGAAAGAGCACAACCTGCTCTTTCGGAAGACCCAAATTCAATTCCCTGCACCCAGATCAGGTGGCTTACAACTACTTTTACTGCAACTCCAGGGGATCAATACCCTCTTCTGGACTCTGCTGGCACCTACACTCATGTACTGCCCCCACCCCCACCCTTACCCCATACACACAAGGTGAATGAACTTCATACTAAGTAAAAATAAATCATCTGTAGAAGGTTATATTAACATGGACTAGCTAGAATAGGTCAATCCACAGAGGCAGAAAGCAGGCTAGTGGTTGCCATAGGCTGAGGAAAATGAAACACGGAGTAACTGCTTAGTATGTGTGGGTAGAAGAGGAGAGGAATGACTGCTGTAGGGCTGTGGAGTTTCCTTCAGGCATGCAGCAGTGATCTGCTAATGATTATACGTAATAAGTATATTGAGCCTCACTGCTAGGAGACTGTTTTAAACAGCTAATTTTATGTTATGTGAATATACTGTCATATTTTTAAGTGCTCAAACAGTAAGAAGTCATGTAACTTAGTTTTTCTCAACTATTAGAATGGAGGCAGTGATTAGAATACAGTAGCTGCTCTTCCTATGCTCTGCTCTCTTTCTGACTGGAGTGAGTTTGTTCTTGTAGCATGTCATGATGCTCAGCAATAAGAACATGAAGATGACAGGGTATTAGGTATATATATAGCAGGAGAGTAGTTAATAAGCTGGAGGAATTATGTTTTCATGCCCGAAAGCATCCTCTGAGGTTCATTTTCACCACCCTTCCCTAATAAAGTCACTTCTCATTTCTTGTTTCACATTGATGTGTTACTTTTCATTTCAGCTACCAGAAATTTCAGACCCAAGTTCTGCCAATTATTACCTCACTTTGTTTGTAATGAGGTCACCAAATCAGTGATTTGGGTTAGGGCTGCTGAATCACTAAATTTCAGTGATGGACCCATGCTCTATCTCTAACTTTTGTCCTCTTGATGGATTCTTACTCATATTTTGGGTGCCTGGACATTAGGAAACCAACATATTTATTCATTAATAAACCCCAAATCTTAACAGGAGTGAATAATTATTATGGGCCAAATAGAGCAAGATACATTTTTTTTATCATGGAATCCAAGATACATGTGACACATCTTGGGTCTTGTATTTGAGTCCAAGAAGCATAAACTGAACAAATCTGACATAGGGGACAAAGTAGCACATGGAACAGACTGAAGCTGGACCACTTTCATCCTTCAGTTCACATGGTGGGTGGTATGTCCCCTAAAGCATTTGAGGCAATGTTCTCTGTGCCATTTTATAAGAAACCAAAGTGGAAGAGAGTCTTAGAGGACCATGTAAGGGATGAGGAGGAAGGACACCCCGCTCCCTTCTCTGTGTCATGAAACGAATGAAGAAATCAAGAGGGATTAGTCTCATAAATATGGGAGCTCTTCAAATGGTCAGAGTATCCAAAAAGAAAAAGGAAGAAAAGAGTCAGCTGCCTGTGTGATCATGAAAGCCTTCAATCGAAGTCCAGGCAACCACTTTCAAGAGTATCCATATAATTAAAGGATACAATCACATAGTCACCAAAATGTACTTCAACCCTGAGATTAATGTCTCTACATAATTACTAAAAAGTAGACAAGGGAGCTGGGTATAGTGGCACATGGTTTTAATCCTAGCACTCAGGAGTCGGGGCAAGTAGATCTCTGAGCTTTAGGACAGCCAGGGCTACACAGAGAAAGTGTCTCAACAAAACAAATACGACAAAAGGCAGGCAAGGGAAGGGTAAAGAATAGAGTTTAAAACCAGTGACCTAATGGAATTTAAAAAGTATTTACTGATTGCTTCTAAATTTTAAGGCATTAATAAAGGTCCTTTCTGTCAATAATTCAGAAGTGATGAGCTTGGTCATTAGCAGCAAGATGACATGTTTCCTTGGCCTTGTTTTATAGTCTAGTCTCCTGAGACAAGATCTAGGACTTGGGAGCCCAGCACAGCTGTCTTCTTCAGGAAAACCTGGAACACCATACTACTCGTTCTCAGCCACAAGTTCTAGGAGAAGACCGCTCCATGACTCTGTAGCTCTAGGTGAGTGTTGGACAGAAAATCCCATCTCTCAGATGTCCCGCTTCCTTAGTCTGTACTTATGGCTGTGCTTTAGTGAGAAGAAATTTACTTTCTTGGTCATCATTTGGACGTCAAGGTATATCTACATACAGATAATGTACAGGCTGAGTATTCCTAACCTATACTCCAAAGTGCTCTAAAATATGAAACCTGTTGAATACTGACATTATGCCATAGAAAATTTCATACATGACTTCCTGAGATGGGCCACAGCCATAAAGTACACTAAAATATGTATGAAATTACCCTTGCACTACATAAATAAGGTGTATATGAAACATAAATGCACTTAATCTTTACATGTGGGTTCTGTCCCCAAGATACTGCATTATATTCATACAGATAGTCCAGATCTGAAGACTAAAACACATCTGGCCACAAGCATTTCAGGTAAGAAATACTCATCCTGTATGCATTAGATACATAACAGATGAAGTTGTCAGAGTTCCCACTGTTGTAAGGAACTCTTGAATCCACTTTGTATTCAAGGTTTAACTAAGGTTTTGGTTGACAATTTCAATATTTAAACTATAATTCTCATCAATATGAGCACTGTGGTAGATATACACTATGTGCTTTTAGCACCCCCTGGAAGCCATAATTTTTTATTTATAATAAATTTTCTATTTTTTGAAATTAACAGTTATATTCCCTTTTCTCCCTCCACCCCATCCCATTCACCCTCAACTTGTTCTCAGGTTCATGGCCTCCTTTAGTTGTTGGTTTATATGATTATTCTTAAATATATAAATATAACCTGCTTGATCTGTATAATGTTATCTTTATATATGTAATCTCACAGATGACCTTTTAGTATTTGACAACTGAAAGAGGAGTTCTTCCATGGGGGACCATTTCTCTTGCTTTCAGGATCCCCTAGTTCTTTGTTTAGAATAGACACCCTCGAGGTATTCCCCTTCCATGTGAGCATGTCTGTTGATGATGTTGATTTTTTCAGTTCCTGTTTAGGCAGCCATGTGAAACCATAATTTTAATAGATTTTAAGCAAACAATTTAATATTCTGCTCCGTGAGAGGATTTAGCCAATTTTTCTTCTTCTACCTAGCAAGTGTTTTCTTCTTAAATGGAAACTTAGGTTCTATTTTTAACACCTAGATATTAACTAAAATGAAAATAGAGCTGAATGTTTTACAAAATATTTTTTTAAGATTTTATTTATTTATTATGTATACAACATTCTGCTTCCATGTATATCTGCACATCAGGAGAGGGCACCAGATCTCATAAAGGATGGTTGTGAAATACCATGTGGTTGCTGGGAATTGAACTCAGGACCTCTGGAAGAGCAGTCGGTGCTCTTAACCTCTGAGCCATCTCTCCAGCCCACAAAATGTTTTTTTTTAATTCCTGTCTCAACAGTAAATAATCCTGTTATTCCATGACTTTAATTCTGAATTTAACATAAAAACTAAGGCTCAAAAGATGTCTTATACATAATAGTAGGTCACTCACCTGAGATAAATTTTAAGATTGTTGTGAGTTTTCTGTTGTTGTTGTTGTTTCTCAACTTTTCCTTCGAAATTGAGATAAAATTAACCAGCACTTAACTTATTGGCATGAAAGTGCACAATGGAATCATATATAGGACATGCAGTCTTGTTTAGTTCAGAGCAGCATGCAGAAAGAAACCCTATATGCAGTAAGCATTCATTCATACTCCTCCTTTACAATGTTGGATATTTATGTCAATCATGTGTATATGCATGTATTCCTTCGTTCATCCATCCATCCTGACAAAACCAGTCTATTTTATGCTGCTGGGTATTCTGTAATGCTTTCTATATAAGCAGTGTTTAAAGTGAAAATTTTATGTGATTTTTTTTAATTATAAGAAAATAAAAGTTGTAAAGGTAGCCTAGCTCCTAAAGTAACTGTAAACCAAAGTAAAATGTGCTATAGTTCTTATTTCTCAAATATTTGTCTACTGCCTCAAGCTAATATATCTACCTCCTGTCAAGCCATGTATTTTGATGAGCTATTTCTAGTCTCTAGGTATAAAGTATGAATAAGGTACATAGAAAGGACACAGTGATGGTTGGATTGCTACATCCAGAAAAGAATTCTGGTGTCTTTATTTCATAGGAGCATGGTCATGTAATATATATGGGTGCTATTAGAGTCAGCCCTGCTGGTTTAGATTAGCATTCTTTTTGTTGTTAAAGAAATGACAACTTACAAAATGTTGTCCATCTAGGCTTTGCTTGTCCACCTGATGAATTAACCCAGTAGAGGCTTCATCTGTTTCTGTATCAGGTTAGTCTACAGGAATATCTTCTTCACAGACTCTATGCACACACTGTAGCAACAAACAGTCCCCACAAGTGTGCTGCTACCAAAGAAAACCAACTATTGAATAACTAGAAAAGAATGGGGATATAGTCCATTAAAATCCAGGCTTAAAAGTCAAGTTTTCCATGAATTCAAGCTTCATTTCTATTTGATTATGATATGGATACTATTGTTTATCCAGTGCATCTTTTCCAAAACTCAATGAGGTTGTAATGTTGATATTAGATTACAAATGAGGAGCTCAAAAGGAATGTAGTATGTAGTGTTTCTCTTGATACTCAGAGGAGTCCTATCCATTTCCTGTGTGAATACCAGTTAGTAGATTATTATTGTGATGCCCAATGCTGTTGCCAATCGTAGCCTCTCCTTGGCATTGCAGTGTGTGGTAAAATGTGAGCAATTAGAAGAACTTTAGAGAGCTACAACTTTATTAATGTTTTTTAAAACCATTTAGGTACTTTAAGAAATTATTCTAGAGAGCAGTAGCTCTCTAATTTATAATTGTTTTGGTCTACATTAATAAGGGCTGAAAGTTATTAAGTGTGGGACAGGAGAGATGGCTCCGCAGCTTAGAGCACTGGTTGTTCTTCCAGATGTCCTGGGTCAATTTCCAGCACCCATAGGATGGCTCACAACTGTTTGTAGCTCCAGTCTCAGGGGATCTAATATTCTCTTCTAGCCTCCATGGGCATTGTATCCACATGGTACACAGACATGCAGGTAAAACACCTATACACATTTTAAAAAACATTTAAGTGTCACAAATGTTAGGCATTGCATTATCATAGAACATGAAACTCACAGGAGAGGTGGTGCCCAGCCCTTCGTGCATCTAAAGGAACTGAAGCACAAAGAGGTTGAAATAACCTTCCCATGTTCATATTGCTGCTGTACTGATTGTAGCCAGCTTACTCTCCATCACATTTTGCAGCCTCCCCAAACTAGACTGAATCCCAAACTGGAGATAGTATGTGGCTAATGATGGGATACAAAAGAAAGATCTTTATTCTGATAACTACAAGCCATAGGAGCCATTTCCTTGACTGATTTTGTATGGAGTGTAGCTTTCACTCAAGAAATACGTTATAAGGAAGCATTTCATCAGGAACAAAGATTTTGCTCTAAGTCTTAAAATACAGAATATGCCAGATGTTGTTTACCTTCGGCACTTCTGTTTTAAGGAAATGTGGGCTACCTCTTGGGAAAGGGATATCTATGCTGATGAATGCTTTTTGCCTTTTTTATTGTCTAATATTTTCCACATGATGCTTATAAAGTTGCTTTCTTAGCTTTACAACCTTCTGGGATATTACCTGTAGAGAGTCCACAGACCAAATTTACATAAATTTCAATCTTTATAAAATCACATTTTATTGTATACGATCATTTACAGCCCAGGAAAATGCTTTCTTATTTAATTCTAATTTTTGCAGTTTTAAAAAATGTGGAATTGGGACGGGCGTTGGTGGCACATGCCTTTAATCCCAGCACTCGGGAGGCAGAGGCAGGTGGATCTCTGTGAGTTCGAGGCCAGCCTGGTCTCCAGAGCAAGTGCCAGGATAGGCTCCAAAGCTACACAGAGAAACCCTGTCTCGAAAAAGAAGAAAGAAAAAAAAACAAAAAAAGTGGAAATTTTCACATTAGCCTTCCTAATAGTGAATCCCTCTGAAAATTCTGAATTTGATCCATTATTTTTATATAGTTGGAAAGCTGTGCATATCACTTCAAAAAGTAAGATGGAAAAGTTGTAGATTTTGTATATAAGGAAAATTAGAATACCAGTTAGGTAATAAAAATAGTCATATTTTCATTTATATTAATTTATATTAGAAATCCACATTTTGAATCTGGAGTTATGGCTCAATATTTATGAGCATGTACTGCTCTCGAAAAGTACCCAAGTTGGAAGCAGAAGCAGACACAGCTAAACACTGAGCTGAACTCCTAGAATCCAGTTGTACAGAGGGAGGAGTGATGAGCAAAGGGGTCAAGACCAGGCTGGAGAAACCCAGAGAAACAGCTGACCTGAACAAGGGGGAGGTGATAGACCCCAGACTGATAGCTGGGAAACCAGCATAGGACCAACCCAGATCCCCTGATCATGGGTGTCAGTTAGGAGACCTGGGCAATCTATGGGGTCTCTGGCAATGGATCGGTATTTATCCCTAGTACACAAATGGACTTTGGGAACCCACTCCACCTAGAAGGAAGCTTTCTCAGCCTAGACACATGGGGGAGGGCCTAGGCCCTGCTCCAAATGATATGACAGACTTTGAAGATCCCCCATGTAAGGCCTCACCCTCCCTGGGGAGCAGAAAGGGGTTGGGATGGGGTTTTGGTTGGGGGCAGGGAAGAGGTGAGGGAGAGGGAACTGGGATTGACATGTAAAACAAGCTTGTTTCTAATTTAAATTTAAAAAAAGAAAAATAAAGGATAAAAATAGAAAAGGACCCAAGTTTAGTCTCACATACATGTGGCAGCTTATAACCATCTGTAGGTAATTCTAGCCCCAGAAAGTCCAGTCCTGGACTTGGACTCCAGGGGTACCTGTATTTAAACATGTACCTACACTCACATATGCGTGGGCACATACACACAGATAAACACACATACACAGCAGTTACACATAATTTAAAATAAAATAAGAGATATACATTCTCTCTGTGTTCATTTCCTGAAAAGGTATGCAAACTTTTAATAAAAGTCCAAATTATACTGTAGTGCCGAAATTTCAGTTTCACTAACAGATTACCAAAGTGAATGCCTGTAATACTAGATGTATATATTGGCTGCATTTCATAGCATATTGAGCATGTCTTGAGATTACTATAACCTTAGTTTTTCATTCCTTCAACTGTATTTCAAATTTATAGGGTAAGTTGTTGTATTACAGCATCTGCTGTTGGATGCAGTGTTTTTAAAATATGTCTTTAAGCCTAATGCATTTTTTCTTTTTCTTTTTTCTTTTTCTTTTTTTTTTTTCTTTTTTGATTGTTGATATGATGTGGTTTGTCTCTTTGTTAGGGAAGTGTACTGTTAAGGAGACCTGTTGCACAGAGTTCGTTTCCAGTAGACTGACACATGTGTGGAATACTTAGACACTTATGGCATAGTGGGCTCTTAAGACATGTTCATTCTCCTTCCTTTTTGTGCTATTTTTTTTTCTATTACCCTTCCAAACTTAGTAAAAGAACCAGTGCTGCCATTCTTGTGTTTCCCTTCTGTGTGTGTGTGTGTGTGTGTGTGTGTGTGTGTGTGTGTGTGTGTGTGTGTGTGTGACACGCAGTATCAGAAAAAGTAGAAATGGTGGTGGAAGGGTGCAGCAGGATGTGAAAGATGGCAACACGATGGATGACTGGATGATGGATTGGTTTCCTATTCATTTGAACTCTTTTTGTTTTTCATAATGTAAATGCTAATGAAACATTTTGGTTTCCGTATGCAGATCCTTTGCAAGCAAAGAAAGTAAGAAAGGTGCCTCCTGGCCTACCTTCTTCGGTAAGTGCATTTTTTAAAAACTTGATGTTAAATAAATTGATGTCAAGTATTCAGTATTTACTTGCTACAAGGATGGATTTGATTGGTGCCAGTGGGCATGCTTTACATAGTAACTGTTCATTGCTTAACAAAATTATTGATTGAGATAAATCCACACTTAATGTTGGGCTTTTCGTTTTCTGTGCAATGATTTGTAGCTTACTCATGTGCTGTCACTGCCTGTCCCTGTCATTTGAATTCCCCTCTTGGGAAGAAGACTAGGCCTGTAGCTGTCAAAGAAGATCTCCTGTGCAGGTCTTTTGATGTTTAATTAGTCATTATGTTACTGAACAGGAGGACAGACAGAGATTAATAGCTGAGAATCTTAGAAATTTACATTTGTAATAATCCCAATGGAGCTAAAGACATTAAGATTCGGAGGACATGTTCGGCTCAGCTTGCCTCAGTAGGACTGAGGTTATTAATATGCATAAATCACCAAGTCAGATGTTCATTGTGAAGCCCTTGTGGGTTTTAAAGCCTTCATTAAGCCTTTCCTAACTTCAGTCTAGCATCAGGAAAGCTTTCACGAAACTAGTTTGTTGATCCCTCCTTGCTCAAAAATGTATCCTTTGAGAATAAAGAGCTTTGATGTAGGAGGTTGGGAGAGGCTGGTAAAACAATCATTAATGGCTGTAGTAACCTAATACTGTAGGAGTGTTTGTGCTGTTAATATACTTATTCTTTGAAGCAATAGAAGTATTTGTAAATGAACTTACATTATAAATCCACCCACAGTTTAAAAACCTCTGGTGAGAAGAAGGGAAAGGCCTTTTCTCTGTGTGTAGAACAAATGGGCAGTGAAGCTGTTAGATTGAGGCCTTGTGCCTTGAAGGGTATGCTCTTTGTTGTGTAAATGGATGTTGGGCTTTTATTGGGCAATACTTAACACATGGGTGCAGGTGCTGCCAGATGAGTCACAGCTCATTGGAGTTTGGACTGAATGGAATATCCTGCTTGACAAGTAGCAATCTAGAAGGGGCAGCATGGGCCTGGCTTTTTATTTCTTGTCAAGGGTAAAGTAGAGAAATCATCTTGTGGTTGTTTGCATTCCTTCTTTTCTGTTTCCTAACCCTACCCCCTCTCTTCCGTGTGATACATGAAAAGTCGAGTTGAAATCTCTGAAACTCAATTCCAGATGGATCTGAGTTTTGAGAATCATAGGGCAGCTGTGCTCTGAACCTGCAGCCTGCCTACCTGGAAGGCTGAATTGCTGCAGCAAGCATCCTAAAAGCTTTTGCTTGCATAAGCACTTGGGCCCACTAGAGGCTGAATAGCTGCTTGATAAACAAAATGAACAATGCCTCAAGTCATTATTCCTGAAAACAGGAATTTCAGCAGCAGCTAAAAATAGCTGTATGATTTACATTATAACAATTGTATGCTGTGCAAAGGGTAGGTAGGTAGGTAGGTAGGTAGGTAGGTAACAGTAATCATACTCAGGTAGACAGAACTGGGAAAACATGGAGCAGTATGATATCTTATAATTTATTACTATAATTCTATGAAAATAATAAAGTTAAATTACATATTAATATTAGTAGAACCACACTGCTTTAAAAAAAGATTAGTAAGTGAAAAGTCTACCACATTTATTCTTGAGCTAACATTAGAAATATGCAATAATAGTCCATGTTTCATAGTTACTTCATTTTTAAACAAATGAGCAAAATGGGCAAAAGAGCCTGGAAAAAGACTTCGTAGACTCTTTTGTCCTTACATTTTTTAAGTTATAACAGCATTCACTACTTTGAGATAGTTCTCTGTATTGTTTTATGTTCAGGAAAAGAACACTACTGCTTTTTGATGAACTTTTGATAATGATTAAGAAATTTTGTAAGCTAAACTTATTAAGTATTATATTTTTCTAGCTCCTTTGGTATACACCCTTAATCCCAAACTCAGAGTCAGAGACAGTCACATCTGTGAGTTAGAGGCCAGCTTGGTCTTCCTACAGAGTTCCAGGCCAACCAGGGCTATATAGTGAAACCCTGTCTCAAACATACATGCGTATGTATGTTTGTATTTAGCAATGAGTATGGTGGTGTTTATGCCTATAATCTCAGTACTTGGGACACTGAAGTGGGAGGATTGCTGTATATTCTCGGCCAGTCCGAGCTCTATAGCAAGACTGTTTAAATAAAACAGAATAAAGAAAGAAAATTAAAATTTTTTTCTATTTGACTGCTTATAATGAATATGCAATTTTGACTTTGTGAATTGTAAAAGAAATGGGTGCAAAATGAACTTAGAGTGTGCATATTTTATTTCATGATTATTTGAATAATGAGTATCATACTTCCAAAACTAAAAATTCAACAAAACGTTCAGATTTCAAATGGGCCAGCAGGTAAAAAGCACAAAAGTATTTAAAAAAAATTTTTTTTGCCTAAATTTAGAAGTAAAGCATTCCTAGATTCTATGATAGGTTCAACTTTTGTAATGTTACTGTGGCATTCCTCCCTTACCCCAGAGTAGGAGCAAAGGAACACTATTGAGTACACGTGGTCTTGGGGAGGTCTGCTCTGAGTACAGATTTCCAGGGTCAGGATTCTGGCTTGTAGTGATAGGAGTCTGTTAGAACTGTGCAGAGTTCAAAAAAAGGTTGTGTGTCATACTCCAGCATGGTGATGATTTCCTTTCCCTTTGAGGGTTCCTTAGCCTCCCTTCCCTCTTACCTGAACACAAAATATCTACACCTAATTTTCCTATATCAGATTATTGCTAAGATAAAAAGTAAAAGAGTCTTGGGACATTGAGGTAGAGATTGGGACAGCTTTTCCCCCTGCAACCTTTAATTTACAAAAGGAAGTGCAGTCAGTAGCATCTCTTCAGCTTCAGTGTTTCTTTGTTAGAGGTGCAGGACTTCAGGCTTCAGTGTGAGGAACACGTGTCAGCCATTTTACTAGATGAGCATGGTAATTATAGTTGGGCATGGTGGCTCACACCTTTTAGCCCAGCATTAAGGAAGCTGAGGCAGGAAGATAGCTGTGCATTGAGACCAGCCTGCATTACTAGTGAGTACCGGGTCAACCAAAGGTATAAGTAGAAAGATACACTCTTAAATAACAACAACAAAAAGATTTAGTAATTCTAGTTAGAAATTGTTTTCTTTTTCCAGTGTGTGGGGTTCAAACCTAGGCCTCCATTCTAATGTTTGGCAGGCAAGCACATTGCCTCCTAGTAACATTTCAGCCTACTATTTTTTTTAATTAATGTGAATTTTGAGTTAACATTAAATCTGAACAGTATGGACATCTCAAGAGATTCTGAAGTGCCCCAAACCACACAGGTTTCTGGGCCCATGCATAATGCTGGAGCATTGCTGTGGAATATCTAAGACTTAAGAACTATGAAGAGTCAGAATATTAAGCCCAGAACACATTTAAACTAAGGAGAGATGGCAAGCAGCTGGGGTAGGTAGAAATTAATTTGAGAAAATTAAATACAAAATGGTTAGCTCTCTGGTCTAGTGAGATCACCTTCAGGGCTTGGAACTATAAGGAGACACTTTCAGTTTATCTCTGAAAATATCAAGAAAAGCAACAACTGGCATTCTCCCAAGGGACTCTCCATGGGAATTACCAGGAAGCCAAGGAAACATTGTCACAGGCAATTGCCCGAGACCTCTAAGACTAGCAAAAAATAAAGCTAATGAAGAATAAACCATTTTTACAAGCCAGTATCAGCTTCAATGTAACTTCACAAATGAGCTCTGTAGCTCTTGAATGGATTGAACAGGGTGTTTGCTTATTAGTTTCTTGGGCAAACAAACATAGGGGGCATATGGCAACTAGATGTGCAAAAGAGATTCTTATTTCCTCCTGTTATAGAGGATATTTCTGATCAAAAACTGTTCCAGTACAAAATTTCCAAAGTTCATTCTCTAACTGTACAGGAATGTCTATGAGGGATAGCTCTAACTTATAAATGTCAGTAAGAAAAGAGCAACCACTTTTGCTGTTGATGATGCCTACTGTTGAAACAGTGTCAGAATTGTATCTGTGTGAATGATAGTGTTTTGTTTGGTTTTTGGTCTTTTGAGACGGGGTTTCTGGCTGTCCTGGAACTCCCTCTTATTTAGACTGGTAATGGGTTTTTGTCCTGTGTCACTGGCCAATATGACCTTGTCACAAATCCCTACCTTTGTTCAGCTAACACTGATTGTACTTGAAAGTTATTTGTTGCTGTGTGTTGCTTGTTTCAAGAAGTATAATGTATGCCATATAGATTTGTGTGTAATCTTTCAACTATTTTAAAAACACTGCAAGTTCTTAAATTGTTTCTGATTTCTCCCGCATGTATAGTCATGAAACAGATTTCAAAAATTTTAAACTACCGACTGTTAAAAATTTTGACTTTTTAAACTATATTTGTTTTAGTATCTAACCCAGTATATCTGTAGTGTTGCCAGTATTTTATTAGTTTTCAAAAAATAATTTGGTTCTGACTTGGCATAGTAGCACATGCCTGTAATCCCTACACTGGAGAAAGGAGACAGGAAGTGGAGGATTAGGAGCTCAGGGTTATACTTCTGTATTCTTCCTCAGTATACTGCATCAAAGGTTTTTTGGTTTTGGGGACAGGGTCTCACTGGGTAGCCTAGGCTGGCCTCAAACTCACAGAGTTCTGCATGCCTCTTGAGTGCTGAGATTAAAGGCTTGCACACCACCATGCCAGGCTCATCTTTTTCTATAAAGAGGTTGTATAGTAAATATGGGGATGAGAGGGCAGATGGTTTCTACTGAAACTGCTAGACACAGCTGTGTTCCAGTAAAACTTGATAAAATAGTTGGTAGGTCAGATTTGGCTCACTAGCCTTGTCACTGGCATTAAGTCTAGCCTGCACTAGACCCCAAAGAATGCAAGTGTAGCCTCTTTGTCATCAAGGACCTAGATACAGAGCAGTTTTTATTATACTATCAGATGCTCTCCAATATTATTTGCCATATTCAAAAAAT